CGACGCTAGGGGACAATCGCGTAGTGATGAAGCGCATTTACCCTGAAGAACGGGCTACGATAACGTCACAAAAATGCGCCATGTTCAGTCACAATGCTACCTACTCGTAAGTGCGGCGTTTGGCGATCACCGTTCAGTGGCGGCTGTGACCGAGGCCCGGGGCCTGGGTCCGGCGCCACATGCACGGCGGCGGGTCGACGGGCGACGGTGACCGGGTCTGGTGGCACGGCCTGTGCGAGCGAGACCGGCCTCTGACGCCGAGCCTGCGCCGACCGACAGACCCGAGATACCCGGCCACGACCAACTACTACTGGGGCTCGATCGAAGTCAACATGACGTCCACGGCCGGCACCGGCAGCTTCAAGACTGCCAACGGCCCCGCCCGGCTCTCAAGCTCGCTCAAGCTCTTCGGCTCCGGGGTCAGTCCATCCGTTTCCCGCATCGTCTCGGCAGCTCCCGTGGACTGCTCCGCCGGACTGAGAGTCAGCCGTTTGAGGGTCTTGAGACTGGCCCGGGGAGGCCCGGGGAGGCCCGGGGAGGCCCGGGGAGCCCCATCCCGCTGCCATGGCTCTTATAGCGAGTGTTATGTCCACTAACTCACGAGCCTTCACTCGCTCCCCAACGTGCTCAACCTTGTTTGCCTCACTGTTGAGCTGCCACTCCCTTCGCTGACAAAAATTGAAGCGGAAAATGCTTGGATAAGTCATGCATCGTGCAAACCGCTTCCCATCGATGGAGTGGTCGGGACAGCCTGTTCCAAGGAGATTTGACGCATCTGAAAGTTTCCTTCCCCGAACTCTCCGGCTCAAGTTCACTCCACTGCAGATTGATGGCGATCGGCTGCCGCGGGTGTCTCCGCAACACGAGGACACCGGGCGGTAGCAGCCGCGGTCGCGGGAGACTGTCCCGTGACCATCAAGCCGACGTACGCTCCCTTCCGCAGTGCATGACCCACACCGGCTGGGCTTCCAAGCGCGACCCCTGTGCCAGGAACCCCGCCGACTGCACCGAGGGCTTCTCGTTTAGTCTTTGGGTGAGACTGGAGCTGGAAGACACCGAATCCATGTTCGACACCGAGGCGCAGGAGTCATCTGGAGAGACACCGAGGAGACGTTACCTGCTCAGCTCGGGTAAGCACGACTCCAGGCGTTTGCTCCCCCATTGTCTGCCCTCATACCGGCCGTCGTGTGAACCGGTGCGAAGATGTGATACTCAGTGCATGGCCTTGTTTGCACGTTTATCCCCGCGGACAGAATTAAGTGTGCGATTTGTGTTCGCTATGGAAGTCCGCAGAATTTGCTGTGGACGCGTCATGCGTGTCTTGTTTTGAGTCCCACTGTAAGACATTAGGCGGCCACCCGATGTGTCGATTGTATGTTATAGTTTAGTCTTGCAGTGCAACAACAGTCCCGGTCTAGTCTCAGTTCCGGTCCGTTCCCACTCAGCTCCGATCCACACCCAATCGACTCCCGTCCTCACCCATCCAGCTCTGGTCCATACCCACTCAGCTCCGATCCACACCCAATCGACTCCCGTTCTCACCCATCCAGCTCTGGTCCATACCCACTCAGCTCAGGTGCGTAGCCAGTCAGATGTGGCCCTGGCTCATTCAGTTCAGGCTCGTGCCCGCTCAGCTCAGGTCCGCAGCCATTCAGCTCAGGTCCGTATCCCTTCAGCTCAGGTCCGTATCCCTTCAGCTCAGACCCGCAGCCATTCAGCTCAGGTCCGTACCGATTCAGCTCAGGTCCGTAGCCATTCAGCTCAGGTCCGTATCCCTTCAGCTCAGACCCGCAGCCATTCAGCTCAGGTCCGTACCGATTCAGCTCAGGTCCGTAGCCATTCAGCTCAGGTCTGTAGTCATTCAGCTCAGGTCCGTATCCCTTCAGCTCAGACCCGCAGCCATTCAGCTCAGGTCCCTACCGATTCAGCTCAGGTCCGTAGCCATTCAGCTCAGGTCCGTATCCCTTCAGCTCAGACCCGCAGCCATTCAGCTCGGGTCCGTAGCGATTCAGCTCAGGTCTGTAGTCATTCAGATCAGGGCTGTATCCATTCAGGACAGGTGTGTAGCCCACATTAGCTCTTCGGTCTCCTCGGCTCGCAGGCGGTGACGACGCCGGCTCGCCTGGCATCGCACTCTATCTGGACAGACACAGACTGACCGCACTGGTGTCGACCGGCTCAGAGTACTGGAAAGCCAGCGTCAACGGCCGAGTGCGGAACAACACATGGAACAACGTCGGTGAGAGCTGAGAGTCAGACTCGACTCCTTCGGCGTGCGAATCTCTTGTGCTCTCTCTTGGACCAGTGACCATGGCGTGACACCTCTTTGCTGTGATTCTGAAGCCGACTGTAATTGTTATATTCGTGGGACTCACTTGCGGACCTGAGCCGCTCGTATTCATGTCGTGGCGTGCATCGGGCCACGCTGCAACGCGTAGGAAATGCCCAACAAGCCTGTGCTGCACGGCTGGTGAAGCTAGAGTCAGCTCTGAAATCGACGGATTTGCGTGGAATCGAGGGAAATCGACTTCGGCGAAAGTGCCTGCGAATGCATACCGAAGTTCAGCCAGCCAAATTGCCTGCATCGTTCACAGGCTCTACTTGAAATTTGGGTACCAGCAAATATTCTGATTGTGGCAGGCTTGCCCTCGCCACAACTTATTTTGGATGACCTTACCCTACGCAGGCCACAGAAACGCTAATAATGCACTTCAGAACAAGATGGAAAAGAAAATATAGATACAAAACCTCCCTGAAGTGTATTTCTCTGGAGAAATAGGCGTTTTCTAAGTCTTCAGCAACATGTCATTGGTACAACCTGGCGGAAGAGATAATAACACCTCAAATTTCACGTGTGTGAAAATAATGTCAGCTCAGCTCCCCCAAATCTTGGCTTCGCGCTCAAAACAGTTTGGGAGTGATTTCTGAGGCTTCTTGGAACCTCTGAACCGCCTTGTATGGGGAGGGTAAATTCACATACACGTTTGTTAGGGGTACTCGCCACCCGTACGCTTCCCCCTTGAAAACGAATTGCACATGGAAGTTTTTGAAAAAGGTGTAGATCGCCTTATCTCCCAAGTTGCCACCGCCGTCATCACTACATCAGGATCTTCCCCGGTTTGGCTGAAACGGAATCGAGCGAGTTTCGCGCTCTTCCACGCTGCCGCCTGCGGTGTGCGAGTGTTCCGCAGTGATCGTGACGTCATCCAACTTGGCCAGGCGTGCGCTGGAGGTCCGACGCCCCATTGGACGCTGTAAATGGAAGCCTTGCGGGTCTGCAGCTCTACATCAACAACAAGACGGAGGCTCACGCCGTCTTCCCGAAGACGGCGCCGGCTGCCGGCAGTGTCCTTGACCCCGTCGAGGTCATGGTCAGTAGCGGCGCCAGGCCACTCTCGCACTACTGAGGAGGGGAGGTTCTCGCACTGCGGGGACAAGGGGGGGTGGTGGTAGAGATGGTGACGAGAAGGGTAGCCCACGTGTTACCATACAGTTTGTTTTTTTTAAGTCATGCGTGGCCCATGTGTTATTATACAGTTTGGCCGAGCAAAACGTGCGAACTCAAATTATGTGCGACTGGTGTTCAGTCCCGCGGCTCGAAACCGATGATCACGAGCACCAGAGTGCAGACCCGCTGGTGTCGTGACGTCACGTCCACCTCCAGGTGGGTTGCCATCGAACAGCCTCGCGGCGGGACTTCCACCACATGTGCGACTGTGAGTTCGACGAGGTGGCCATGTGGACGCGCGCACTCCCCGCCAATGAGACAGTGTTCTTCTTGGGCGGATACAGTGAGTGGCTTCGACTGCAGCTCGGTGGTGAAAATGACATTACCTGCTGACATATATATGCATGGGCGGTAGACCGTAGGGAAAGGGTAGGGCGGAGGAAAAGTTGCATCAGTCTCTACTCTGTGCTTTCTCATACTGTACCAGCTACGGATATGACTACAATTATTTTATTTGCGGACAGCTGTAACCTTGGTGTACATCTTAACACGCGCTGGCGTGGGGGTGGGGGTCAAATTGACCCCCGAAGGTTTTTCCAGAATGGTTTCCGAACGGCATAGCGTAGCCACGCAAAATTGTGCATAGCTGTAGACAATTGAATAACGGATCGCTTGAAATAAAAAATTTAAACGTACCTTGCAAGGCCAATGACCTATGGCAGGTCAAAGTCAGGCCATGGTTTCAGCGAAGGCAATTTCTAGGAAATCGTCCAATCTGATACAGAAACGAAGTGTTTGACGAAGCCATACATCTCTGAGACGCTTTCTAAGGCTCCACAAATATTGAATGAGAAAATAACGTTGACCAAAGATCAGGTGTGAAGGTCAGACCAAGGTCAACACCAACCTGATTTATTACTCTAGGACTTGCCGTATGGAATAGATTCTGGTGCTCATTTCGAATCTATTGACAGCAGGAACCGCATTATACATATTCCATTGACTTCTTGGAGGTCAGGAAGGGTCATTGACCTAAGATGACCCGGGGCGACATTTGTTTAAGGAACATACTGCCTAGCGTAATCTTTGTCGCTTATTCAAATGCAAAACTCAGAGCAGTCTTGTATGATTTTGATCACTGAGCTTCAAAAGGTAAAACAAGGTCACTAACCTCAAATGGGCTTGTGGCCTTTTGCTTGGAAACAGTTGCCTAGGTTCTGGGGACAGTTTGGAGACCAGCCTGGAGTTTGACCTTGTTTGACCCTATTTGACCTGAAGGTCATGACCTAGGAAGCTCAAACTTTGACTTAAGTGAGTTCACGTACAGGTCCAGACAGCCTGTAAATGTGGTGTCTCTAGACTTCTTAGTTTCTGAGATCTCAGGGGGCTCAAATTGCCCCCCTCACCCGAGCAAAGGGTATCTAGCCGGCCACCCGGGCGTGTGTTAAGGGGTATTTCTTTGGAGAGGGCGTATTAGTGTTTTGGAGGGAAGCGACTTGCAACTGAAATTATTGAATGAAAGAATGACTGAAAATGACATCATTGTCTGCACATTGCACTATACCACAACATATCCCATACACAGCTCATGCAGCATGCATCACCGACATCTGAATGAAATTTTGTAAGTGAAATTTTTGCTGCGAAAGATAAAGAGCGCTCACATGCGTCAGCTGAATGTGTGGTGACTGCCGTTCGTCGCAAAGATTTCGAGCAAATTGCCCTGATAGTGTTTGTACATTATACCAATCACTCCACTCTCCTCTAAGTGCGTTTATTGCCCAAAATTTTTCGCTGTGATGATCTTATGCAGCACTGAACCTCTTCATCAATCGATTGCATATAGATGTACGATTACATTGCGCCTACCTGTAATTGGACCCAGTCATGATTTAAATTTCTGGGACCCAGCCCAATGTAATCTACCAACAGGCAACGCATTCTATCCAGTCATTCGCGTCTTACCAATGTAACATACCATCAAATTCAATTCATCGCAGGGAAAGTATTTCGCAGTGCACTTGGTTCCAATGGATCATTTCTCCGTCGCGATAAGCCTGAAGTAAGCAGAATCGTTTGCGGACGGGCAGGTAAAATGACATCGTATCTATATTATCAAACACCACTGTGTGGGTCGTTTGCTGAACCAACCAGATCAGCGATATAAAATACCTTGTTTACTCCCTCTGAAGCTGAGCATCAAGATCATCAAGGAAATCCGATGGCTGCCGCATCTCTCGTTTGATCGCGGAACCCGTCCGGCGTGACCTACCAAAGAAGTCATCATTCGTGATTTGTTACATGAGGAGTGTTGCATTTGTCCATAATGTGTACGACCACAGAAAGTGTAAGATGCGATCACCGAAAACTTCAGCGTCCTGTCCGAAGCTGTTGAAAAGTAGTTCCGAAGACCTCAGGTGACACCCCTCCCCCCCCTCCACCGGAGCGTCAGGGTCCCGTCAGAATTTCAGTCAGATTGGACTCCCCAATCCGTCCTAATAGATGAGTGGCATGAACAAAGGTGTATTTTTTTAACTTGTGCTTGACAATATTCTAACCTAATCCAGTCGTAATCCGTGCTGCTTGTAGTTTCCAAAACCAGCAGCTTCAAACCAAGAGGAATGCTATATCCGCGGATTCAGCAAGTTCTTGGCTAGTTATATCTGTGACTGATCGCTGATATGCTGACTTTTGAGCTTTGTCTATATGCGGATATCAATATAACGCCTCCTCCTAACTCCAGACGACAAGAACAAAAATCTGGACATGAATTCGCTCAACGAGATCTTCACGAAGTGCAGGCAGTGTTCCGACGATTCGAAGCAGTTCAGGAGCTTCCTGACCATGGTGCTGGTGCAGGTGAAGACCAACCCGACAGCCGCAAGTCCGACAATCGCCAGCACGGCCTCCGCGGCTGCCGGCGGCGACGCCGCGGCTGCAGAGAAGACCGACATCGTACTACCGCCCGGTGAGCCCGCCTGGCCGACCGCCGGCTGTGGAGGCGGCTGCCGTCGGCGGTCCGGTGCGAGAGCGCGCTCCGGAGGAGCTGCGCTGGAGATCAGGCGCATCGGAGTCATGCTTTGCGTGGTGCAGTTCGGCGTCGGCGACATGGTCGAAGAGAGAGACTTCGTCTGCGAACGGGAAGCTGTAAAAGTTCTGACGAGCTGTTGGTGTCGACGCCCCACGCCTGAACACCATTCAAAGTCGATGGCGCCTCGTGCACGGAGTACCATCCAGCCCAACGACCAATATCATGTCATTGAAATGTCAATGTCATTGTCATTGTCATGTGGCGATATCGATGTCAATAGCCTCAGGTTGCGGAAGAATATCCGTAGGGGCACAGCCGCCGCAGTGAAACTGTGCTTGACACCTTGTCTTGGCACTTGTCTCGACGCTTAACACCTTGTCTTGTCCTGTCACCTTGACAGCTTACTGCCTCGTCTTGTCAGGTGAACGACGGTTGACAGCGTGCGTGTTTCCCGTTCTCAGGCACGCCACTGTCAAGCCCCGAGTCTGTGGGCCACATCCTGGCCCTGAAAAACCTTATCATCGCCATGACAGCTTCAGCCAAGGAGAACATGCTCCCTTCGGAGATCGGCGACTTCATGGTGGGCCGATGCGGGAGTGTTCAGCACCGACTGCGAGTCGCTATCGAAGTGATAAAGCGTCACAAAACTATGCGAGGTCCATCTACGCTGTTACAGGATCATCTTCGGTGGATCCCGTCGTGCAGATTTTAGCCTCACTTCTAAAGGCGTTTTTTTTTTTGTACCGCAGCAACGGTTTGGCTCTATTGTGATAGCCAAATACACTACAGCGATGCGGATATCCGGATGCGACGTCTCCTGTCACGTGACCTACGGCACTTAGTTGGTGGCCGGGTACGCTCAGACCACGTGGCGTGCGCTGACCGACTCTGGCCGACAGGAGCTGGCAGCCATTGTGGGCTCCTCACTGGAAAAGGAGACGCTCGGAGAGTGGCGCTTTCTCGAGGCCTCCATCAAGGAAGACGGAGGTACGCTCCTCACTCACAGCCGACTGGCGTGTTTTGCGTACCGAGCGCGCGGGGCGTGCTACCGCGCGCTTTGGATGTGCTGTCGGCTTGTCTGGAGTGCTCGCTGCTGCTGCTTCAGTTTGGGCTACGTAATTGTCTCTCCCCCAGAAGCGACCGTCGGCCTGTTCAGAGTTGAGATCTGGTTGAGGGTTCCGTGCGAGGCAATTCATGTTTCAAGGCGCACTGGCTATTGCGAGACTGCATGCCTGACGTGCCGGGGGCCTTGTGTCTTGCCCTCAGGCTGTTCTGTGGGTCGCTCGTCAGCTGCGATGCCATAACCCGCTCCAATATGTTGACAGGGGCAGCAGAGGTCGTGGGGAATTTTGAGGATTGGGCTTTGCAGTGCGCCGCGAACACGGTAATGGACAGCCCCAAGTCTCAGGTCCATGTCAAGAAGGACGCTGACAATATCAAGATGGTAATGTCGAAAATGGCGACCTTCATGCACCGCCAAGAACCCGTAGCGGAATTTCCTAAAAAGGGCAGTGGACTTAACCGTGTTGAGTGTAAGTATAGCTACTTTA